CACCTGGGACGGTTCTGGACTGGTGCATTAAGCTGAAGCTCATCGACCCCAAAAAGATCAAAGTGTTTGTTCTGGACGAGGCCGATGTGATGATCGCCACACAGGGACACCAGGACCAGAGCATCCGCATTCAGAGGTGAACTTAGCCTAGTGTTTGAAGAACATGCAAGCAAATACACAAAGACAGGCTGCTGATTATATGATCTATTATGATTTTGATCTATAATGAAATTTTTTTTGTATCTGGATCTTATACATCATTTATCATTATTAAAAACATAAAAAATGCATTTAATACATTCTGCGATTTGAAAACGCCAATTTTATTTTGTGGACCTACCTTGTGGATATATAATTTTTTTGTATTTTTTTTTTCATTTAAGAAATAATTGTTTAAAAAATAATTAGTTTTTCACTTTTATTATTAAGTAAAAAATAAGTAGTGGGGCAGTATTCTTTAATAGTACTGTTGATATTTAAAAAATAAATAAATAAAAACTTTTGGCCATTTTGTTGCGAGATCAGAATTCAGAGGGGGAAAAACTCTTAACTGTGAGATATAAAGTCAGAATTGCAAGAAAAAAGATAGAAGTTTATGTCTTGCAATTATTTTTCAGAATTGCAAGTTTATACAGTATCTTCTGAGTTTGTATCTCACATTTATGAATTATGAGAAGAAAAAGTCTGAATTGTGAGAATAAAAGTGGCAATTACTTTTAAAAAAAATTACTCCTTGGCAGAAATGTACAGTGACATTACAAAAAAACTACATTTAAATGATTCTGTGTAGGCTTCTGTGTTTTCAAGGTGTAAAGAAAATATTTTTCTTTTGTACACAACTGGATATTTTTTGTAATTAAATGGAATTTAAATTAGAGCTTTTATTGAAAGTGGTTTAAATGTTGTTTCTTGTTTATTTAGTCAAAAATGTTTTAATATGAACACAAAGATTACATTAATTGATATCCTTATTTTCCGCTGATCGTTTTGCATATTTTCACAAAAATACCAACACATTGTCCTTCAGAATGACGTCTGTGGCTTTTTGTGCATTGACATTTATTTTAAAATTTATTTTGAAATAGAAAAAATTAACTTTAGAAGTAACTTTACATTTAAAATGCAGCTTGCTTTAGCATGAGATCAAGTATAAATGGTTTCTGTTTCCCATCACTGACAGAATGCTGCCCAAAGGCTGTCAGATGTTACTTTTCTCTGCCACCTTTGAGGACTCTGTGTGGAAGTTTGCCGAGCGGGTCGTGCCAGATCCCAACATCATCAAGCTTAAGCGAGAAGAGGAGACCCTGGACACTATCAAGCAGTACTACGTGCTCTGCAACAGCAAGGAGGACAAGTTCAACGCACTCTGTAACATCTACGGAGCTATCACTATTGCACAAGCTATGATCTTCTGTCATGTGAGTCTGTTTGCCTCTGGTTGATATTAGTAAGTTTGTTTCTTTAATTTAATCATCCCATATTGTCATCTTTTTTCAGACTCGGAAAACAGCCAACTGGCTCGCCAACCAGCTGTCTAAAGAAGGCCACCAGGTGGCGCTGCTCAGTGGGGAAATGGCAGTCGAGCAGAGAGCTGCAGTTATTGAACGTTTCCGAGACGGCAAGGAGAAAGTTCTCATCACTACTAATGTCTGTGCAAGAGGCAAGAACACCATTACATCTAATGTACATCTAATAAGATGCAAAGCTGTATTTCTACAGCCTTGAGAGAATATAGAGTTTATATTTTAACTAAACCAAAAGTTGAAGTATTTGTTCCTTTCTCATCTGTGTGTAAATTCTGCAGTCTTCAATAATCAAGCTATCCATCCACAGGTATTGATGTTGAACAAGTGTCAGTGGTGATCAACTTTGACCTTCCTCTGGACAAAGATGGCAATCCAGACAATGAAACGTACCTCCACCGGATCGGCAGAACTGGTCGTTTTGGTAAGAGAGGACTTGCTGTCAACATGGTGGACAGTCAGCGCAGCATGGAGATTCTCAAGACATATGAGAGGCATTTTAGTAAGTGTTTCCATTAGTTTATCTCAATAGTTCACCCAGTATTTATTAGATTTTTTAATGAATTATAAAAATAATCAATAATTATAAATGAAAAAAAGTTGAAAATATATCAAATTAATTATTCAGTTTTTGATAATTACAATCCATATTTGTTATTTTATGCTTTTCATTCAAGTCTACTGGTTGTATGTCTGTATGAAAAAATTGTCTTAATTTTTCTTAATTTTATCATTATTATATTAATTATTATAGAATATATTTATATGACAAGCTACGCAATATCGCGTTTGGCAATGAATCGCCTGCGATTTTGAACACGATATTGCGTAGCATGTCAGTGATCTACGGCTCTGTGTAGTAAATGCCGCCCCATCTGAAAGCACGTGCTGGAGATTTACTACTGTGTATATATACATATAAATTATTGTAGAATATTTTTTATAATTATTTTAAGGAATATTAATGTATATAAATTACAAAAATAATGAATAATTATGAAATTAACTTTTTTTATTGTTTTTATTTTATTTAAATGTATTAATTTACTCACTTGTTTTATCCAACAGATAAGAAAATTGCAAGGCTGGACACAGATGATCTCGATGAAATTGAAAAAATCGCCAACTGAAGTGATGAAGAGCAAAATGCACTCTACATTATTTTCATAAAAATCAGTTCTGCTGTTACCTCATCAGATTTGATGCTTGAATAATCTGCATTACAAAGACAGATGTTTACATAAATTATCGACTCATATTTAGGAGAATATGGTTTAACTCAAGCTTAATGCTAAATAGTTTTGATTCTACGCTTATAGCTGTTACAGGACTTTTTGAATCAGTTTGCGTTTGACAGAGTGTGTTTTGATATTGAAGTGAATTGCAGTACTAATTCCTACATTTAATCTTGTTTACAGGAGACAGTTTTACATAAGCATTTTCTGTTATCTATTTGACTAATGAAGCATATCTTGCATAGGGCTGCACTGTGAAGTAAGTGGACTACTTTTTGGTCTTACATGTGAATAGAATCATAACAGACTTAAGTATTTATTCCATCACAGTATCTGAGAAGATAAAAGTTAGGAAGAGAATCTCTGATAAATATGGTTTAGTTGCCTACAGATTGGTACAAAATTATAATAAGGTGCACAAATGACAGTCTCTTAAGACCAACTCAAAACACTAACATTCCTCAAGACGAGCACTTTAGAATAAGACATTTTATAATGAGAATTATTGTGAAAATCACAATAGAGTATTGTTTTGATATGTAGCAATGCCATTGTACTTGAACTGCAAAAAGCATTTAAGCTTTTTGAAGAAGAGTTTTTTTTTTGTTCTGTTCAAAGACCATATGAAAGACCACACACTGAAGAGTGATATTGTTGTGTTGTAGCTATATTGTTAGGAATGGTTGCTCTACTGTTGTTTGCGAAATGCAAAATTATTTTAGCTTGTTTACATTTTTGCTGCTTACATTAATGCACCTTGTTTGACTGAAACCCATTTGCGATTACATTTAGCTGCAGCATTTCAGTTTCTTTTTTTGTACATTTGCTGCATTTAGGGTTTTATAGTTGTTTCCTATATATTCTTATAATAATAAAACTACGTTGGCTCATTTCTATGTGGTGATATCAATCATTTTTACTTATTTGCAAGAATTAAATGCAACAACTCTTAGGATGGATTTATTTTTTTTGTCTCTCCAACTCCCTGCATCCACTGTGCAAAAGACAGCACCTTTATTATAGGCTGTAGACATTTTAACATGCATCTAACATGCAGTCTTGAATCAAAAGACAAAAAAAAAAAAAGTTGCATAAAGGGAGAAAACCCTTTTTTGATTCTTTTAATTTGTGGAAATCAAAATTTGTAAGAAAACTCTTAATTATTTTAAAAAATGTCAAAGCAAAAACGTCTTAATGGTCCTAAACACACTTAATGATCACTTTCTTTAAGCAAAATGTAAAAAAACTTTTTATCTGTAATATATAATATATATTTATCTAGATGTCTGTAATGTCTAATTCTTCCCATTGTTTATGACCCAAACTGGTTCTTGACAGATTTCTTTTTTTAGTGATCTTAATTTGTTTAGTCAAGCAAGATTTTTACCTTATAGTAGTTGTTGACTCAAAAATGAAAATTTGCTGAAAACTGACTCCCCCTTAGGCCATCCAAGATGTAGATGAATGTTTCTTCATCAGAATAGATTTACAGAAATTTAGCATTGTCACTTTCTCACGAATGGATCCTCTGCAGTGAATGGGTGCCGTCAGAATAAGAGTCCAAACAGCTGATAAAAACATCACAATAATCCACACCACTCCAGTCCATCAATCAACATTTGATGTGTGAAGTGAAAAACTGTAAGAAACAAATCCATCAAGACATTTTAACTTAAAACAGTTGCTTCCAGCTAAAAAATTAGTCCTCTAATATTTCTTTCTTCAGTAAAAAAGTTGTCTCATATGAATCAGGAAAGAAATAAGCACAGATCAAGCACCATTTACAGCCGAGAACACTGGAGGACGTGTTATTATGGATTATGGACTGGTATTTTGTCCAGAAGCAGTGTGTCGATTACTGAATCATGGACTCTCATTCTGACGGCACCCATTCACTGCAGAGGATCCATTGGTGAGAAAGTGATGTAATGCTAAATTTTTCCAAATCTGTTCTGATGAACATCTTGGATGGCCTTGAGGTTGAGTCAATTTTCAGCCAATTTTAATTTACAATTTTTTTTTAACAGAACATATGTAGTTATATATATGTATATATACAGTATATATACATATGTGGGACAAATAAACATTTTTCAATCAAAATAATCTAATATTCAATCATGTATTTAATCATGAGGAATTTGAATCATAATCTGAAATGTTAATCGGACACAAAATCTAAATAATCTTTGCCTTTGTATAATGCCTGAGTGTCCATAAAAAGTTGAACTATATTAGTGTTTCAAGTTAAATCCATGTTGCTGTCATCTTGGGAAATGCATAAAACCGATTTGTTCAGGACGCCACACTGAGCCAAGGTCATTGTAAGGTTTGTAAAAGTCCTTCGTGGCACATCCATAGTCTCAATCACACAATTGTCAAACCTCTCCCCGAATTCAGCCTCTGCAGCCGATAGCACCGCCTGGAGCTGGTCTGCTGGCCGGAAATGGCACTTGAACCTCTGACCGCATGGAGTTCTGATAGCGAGCAGCAGGCCTGGTTCCTCTGGAGGAGTTAGACCCATCTGACTTCCTGACGTCACATCTGGTTTGACCTTTGTGTGGACACGTGAAGTGTGTTGACATATCCTACGGCTGCTGTCACCTTGACCGAATGTCTGGTCAGTACCTGTTTTCTTCTCTATGGAAGGGAGAACCCTGTATTTGTTGAGTGAGATGGGTCCATCGGGGGGTCTGTCGAAGATTTCAGTCAGTATATCTGTACTAGGTTGACTGCAGCGTCTCAGAATGGCTCGGGATTGAAGGCACTGGTTTAACCTGTCGTTTGCCTTGGTGGCTGGAGGTTGGGGTGAAAGTGACGAGGACTGGGAAGGTGGATCCTCACTGGAAGTGGGAGCCATCATGGGTCTGCTGCGTCCCTTAGATGACTTGGGCCTGCTCACATGCATCCTTCCTGAAGAAGCCATTGAACTGTTCAGATAGATAGATAGATAGATAGAAGTCTTCAGTATCATTATTAATTACATTAGACTTGCACTGAGCCAGTCAGTTTTAACTTTCCAAATAAATAAGCTTGTGCATTACAAATAAATTCAAATTTACGGTTCTATTTATAGGTTAAAGTTGATAAAATATTCAATAAATAATCGTAATACAGAAAAATGTCAAATGTGTCGTACCTTTTAAGTTATTTTGCTTCTTTCAGTCGTTGTTGAAGAGATCAAGTAAGCAGGCATTTTCACTAGTCGATAGTTTTGCCGACGCACTGGCGTCTCCGTGGCAACGCTTCCGAAGCGGAAGTGCTATAATGAGCGTCATAGTCTGCGATTTTGTATATATTTACATATTATTATGAAATGTTAAAAACGTAAATGACTATGAAATGTGTGTCAAACTACTAAACCGTGCTTACAAAAATACAGAAATAAACAATTTCTTGCCGTGGCCCTTACGAAAATTAACCATGGTTTTATTACAGTAAAAGTGTAGTAAACATGATTTTTTTTTTTTTTTTTTTTGTAGTAAAACTATGGTTAATTCTCGTAAGGGGGTATTTTTCTTGTTTGTGGTACAATATAATGCTATAATTTATTCGTTTGTTTTCATTTTTTTTTATAATGCACGGTCAGATTTAATGTTAATATCGTTACTCATGAATTCATGTGGGACATTTACTAATATGAGATATTTACATTTCCTAAACACCTTAAAGCAATTTAAGGCCAAAAAAGCCACTTTGGATGAAACGTAGTAAATAAATAATAACCCAAAAATATACACTGAATATAACTAAATTGCGTTGTATTGCTTGCTAAGTAAGAAGTATGCTGTTTGTCAAACTGTAAATGAAATTGTAAATACTGAAAGAAGTCAATGTCATCATCCTAAGGCAAAGCTTGAAAATTACTGTTCAGTGTTCTTTTCATTTTAGACATAATATGAGAATAACCATAACGAAAACACATTTCTCACAACATTATATTTAATTATTGCATTACATACTATTTATACATTCACTACAAAATTCCCCCTTTATAGTTTCAGCAAAGCTGCAGATGTATGACGCACATTCGACATGAATTCAAGTAAAAGTATTTCCAATAAAATAATTAACACTCAAGGAAAAAAAAGAGCTATATATTCAAATATACAGTACTTCACATTTAAATATATATCATACACATCCTTTGCCTTTAAATGGCTTTATATTATTCCCTAAGCTCAAATATATTGAAGTACACCCAGCATTCAATGCCCACTTGATGTTGTGTAGTTGATAGCTTAAATGAGCAGAACCCTGCTTAAAATGAGCATTAAATCTGCATATTGCATGTCCCTTCGGTTTTTAAACAGGCAGACAGTCAAACAAGTCGATGTTTGTAGTAAATAAGTGAGTATGTGCCACAAGGACTATGTATTACTTAGTGTAAAGAGTAAAATACATATCAGTCCCCCCTCTACGGTAACTCCAGGAGGTGGTTTTTCACATACAAGTCTTCTGTGATCTGGTAGACTTCAGCAATTAGAGGCAAAGACTCTCCCAACAGAGCAACCACCTGCGTGTGATCACCCGCATTCATCACATCAAAGAATGTGTCACGCCCTGGAAGGGCACAGAACGCCACGCCGACAGCTTTCCGGATGAGCCAGGGGTGGTGCTGAGCCAGAGACTCGTTATAGGCATCAGAACACATGACGGAGGTCTTGCCGTCCTCGGTGCTGGTTCGCAGTCTCTCCAGGAACAGCTCCAGCCAGAGCAGAGCCCGATGGAGCCTCAGAAGAGTGCGGCAGCCGGATTCTGGGTGGCTGCCTCTTTTGGTGAGGTCCACCAGGTCGTTATCCAGCTCATACTTCACCATGGACTGGATGGTGACATAATAGGATCCGTTTTCTCCTGAAAGGAAGTTCTCTAGGATCTGGATTTTGCTGACCACATCCTTGGAGATGAAGGAAAACACGTTCCCTAAACTATTCATGAAGCTGATGGGAAAAAAGAGGGATTTTGATTATTACATTTTTTTAAATTGCTCATAGTCTTTATATTCAAATGGCTTTCCTACATTTTTTGACCAATGAATTTTACAGGTATTTGTAATTACAAGATACAGATTTATTTAAATTTTTTTTACAGCTGAACATTAAAAGCTTTTAAATTACAATATAAATTTACATGTCTAAGATTTCCATTAATTGTCCAAGTTCTGAAATAATAATTAAATATAAAATAAAATATTCTTTATATTTCACATCACTTCTTTAAATATCCCAAGACCATAATGTAAAACAGTACAGTATAAAACATGTACTCACGAGACCAGCTCTTGCCATCCTGCTATATAATATTTAATGTAAACCTCCTTATTCTCACTCAGACTTGATCTGAATGTTTCCAAAACCCTTTGAAGACTGAATGTATCTGCCATGTCTGTTCTTTCTAATTAAACTAAATTTGTGGACAAATTCTTACAACAAAATCGACAAAAAAAAACTCTATATTAATTTTCAGTATCTTCAGTATGTGTTCTTCATTGGGATAATATCGCTGTAAATGCTTTTGCTTTGCTTTCCTCTTGATCCTCTCTTCCGGGATTTTCCTGCGTTCTTTAAGCAACGTAAGCAACATTAGACCAATCAAATCATGGTTTTCTTGTCACATGACAAGAAGTTCCATGTGATTGGACTTTGGTCTTGGCCCTCTGTGGTTGTTCAGTAAATTTAAACCAATGGGATTAAAGATAACATAGTCACGCACCGACGTCACATTGGACGTCTTCTTCCATGAGGCGGCGCTTGAGGGCTCAGAAAGTCGAATTCTCTATTGAGCCGCATTCAAATATATGGAGGCTGTTTGTTTTTTTTGGAGACAATTATGCATCGAAAAGAATAATATTTTTAATATATTAACTCTACAGATTTGTATCTGACAACGGAATTTAAATACGACTCTGAATCTGAATGAAAATGATTTTTTAAAAATCCTAGTCCAGAAATCACAAACGAGCATGATTGGTTCAAGCTAACCAGCGCTGTGAAAAGTAACAGTTACCACGTGACATGGCTGTTTTAGTCTGATTCACTAGTGGACCTGATAGTAATTTACTCTTGAATAATAATAATAAAATACTTTATTAGCCATTAAACTGAAAACACACAGTAAAGAATTAAAATAAGAAAATTATTATTTAGAAACGATAGACAACGAATGGGCCACTAAGTCACGCCCACATCGATAACCGTATTGATATTCTACTCTCTTGTTCTGTGGCGTTATGGCAACGGCGTGAAGTTGTTTAGCTTGTTGTGCTAACCTGTTTCTGAATGATCCACTATTTGAACACTTTAAAAGTCTTTACATTTGGTTTACACCCCTGGCTGGTGTGCAATCTGACTGACATGCACCCATCAAGTGTTCATATCCGGCTAATGTACAGTTAGTGTTTGACCATCAGTCTCTTGTAAACATAAAACATTCATTTCTGAGCTTTTCAAAGCTGTCAAGATGCCTGATATCAACGTTACGCCTTTAGGTAAGACGTTTGCTTCATTTTTAAATAAAACGTCTTAAAAACGTTAATAAGCAATTATTAAACATATAATGCTTAACAAATAATATTGTGCAGGAATCAACGGTATTAGTAGTTGTATGTATGTATGTATATATATCATAATAGGTAAATATTACATGAATATTATAAATTAATTTATAACTTCAGTTCTTCTAAATGTGTGTATGTGTTGTTTTGCAGGGGCTGGTCAGGATGTCGGCCGCAGCTGTATTTTGGTCTCCATCGGAGGCAAAAACATTATGCTTGACTGCGGGATGCATATGGGCTATAACAACGATGTGCGTTACAACAGTTATTGCTATCTTCTTCACTTGTTTGTATTTTGAAATAATAGTTGAGTAATATGCCCTTAACTTTCTGTGTTCATTTTCAGAGACGTTTCCCAGATTTCAGTTGCATTACTCAAAATGGTCGCCTCACTGAGTTCTTGGACTGTGTTATTATAAGGTTAGTTTGTATTTGACATGTTATGTGACTGTTGTGTGTTTTCTTGTTCTCCACTGTGACTTTCTTTCCTCCTTTAATGTTCCTCTCAGTCATTTCCACCTGGATCACTGCGGTGCTCTTCCCTACATGAGCGAGATGGTGGGTTACGACGGGCCCATCTACATGACCCACCCCACCAAAGCCATCTGCCCCATCCTGCTGGAGGACTTCCGAAAGATCACAGTAGACAAAAAGGGAGAGACCAACTTCTTCACTTCACAGATGATCAAAGACTGCATGAAGAAAGTTGTGCCACTCAACCTCCACCAAACAGTTCAGGTAAAGTTAGTTGTCTGTGAAATTTATTTTAATTTGCAATAATTAAAATGAATTAATTTAATGTATTGTTGTCAATAAAAAATAACTAAATTAATGAATTTTAGTAAATTCATTAATGTAAGTAATTTTAGAAATGTAATTTATTCATTATTTTTAAGAATTTTGTTATTGTAAATTTTCCTTATTGAAAGTGTTTAAACGAAAGCATTTTTTTTTTACAAAAAATGTAAGCATCAAATGAATTTATAAATATTTTATTGATTAATATTCTAAATAAATATTTCTTATTTATTTGAATCTACTATTAATGAAATTGATTTTTAATTGTGTAATAATAATAATAATTATTATTATTATTCAATTATGCATGTAGAAACATTTTAGTATTAAACATGAGGTTTTGTGATCTTATTTCTTTAGATTCTTATTTTCTTTATTGTAATAAAATAATTATATTTTAAATATAATAATACTTTTTTTAATATAATAATATTTTAAATATAATCATTTTTTGTTTAAATGTAGAATGTTTTTAAATATTATGATGAATTTTGTTGTAGTACATTTTCCCCACTGAAAATGTTTAAGCTAGAACTTTATTTAAGCATTTTAATTTTTTATTGTTTTGTCTGACTTATTTATTTTTTGTATGTTTTTTTTCTTTTTTTTAGGTTGATGAGGAGCTTGAGATCAACTATGAGGAGCTTGAGACCTACTATGCAGGTCATGTGCTGGGAGCCGCCGTGTTTCAGATCAAAGTCGGCTCAGAGTCTGTCGTCTACACAGTGAGTGTCACATTGCTTATTACATACTTTCGTAGCATCGTGCTATGATCTCCGACGGGCAGTAAGAGCCGCCAAACTCCGATACAGGGAACGAATAGAGTCTCATTTCCAGCTAAACGACTCTCGATGCATGTGGCAGGGACTGAGGACCATCTGTGCCTTTGGAAATAAATCCTCTGCAGCTGTGAGAGCAGACCCGTCGCTGGCTGACGAGTTAAACTCTTTCTACAGCCGCTTTGAATGCAATCGAGGCAGCGCGACTCTGCCGATCAGCGCGTCAGGAAGCTGCAGACAGAGCAGCTATAATCATGTAATCACTGTGTCGGAGAGTAAGACACTTAATATACATACATTGTCACTTGCACACAGCAATTTCTGTAATATTTTATTTATTTACTTTTTTTACATCTATTGCTGCTATGTAACTACCCATGTACAACCTGTTTGCACATTCTTCTATTGTACATTCCTGCTCATCTAAATATTTATTAAGCCTACAGTATACTGTCCTGTGCATTTTATTTTATTCTCATTTTTTATCTTACTTTTTCCATACCTATATTTATATATAATTTTCTTGTGTTTGTATTCTTTAATAATTGCACTGTCCATGGAGCAGACCTGACTTACATTTCACTGCTGGTCATATATTCCCTATATAACCATGTATGTGACAAATAAAAATCTTGAATCTTGATCTTGAATCTTTGATTTTATGATGTTCCAGCTGTTGACATAATTTGCAAATTATATCTAAATCTGTTTGTATATGGTGATTACAACATGACACCAGACATACATTTAGGGTGAGTAAAATCTCTTCTTTTGTCACTATTTTATGTACGCTCCAGGTTTTACATTTCGGTTAGATTAATTCAGGTTTAATTGAGTCAGGTTTAAATTCTCTGACTTTATTTACTCAGAGCTGCTTGGATTGACAAATGCCGGCCAGATATTCTGATATCAGAGTCCACATATACGGCACCACGATCAGAGACTCCAAACGCTGCAGGGAAAGAGATTTCCTCAAGAAGGTTCATGAAACTGGAAAGAGGAGAGAAGGTAATTAAGGCGCATTAATATATGTAGAATTCAGTTGGTATTTATCAGCTCATCCAGTCAGATCTTAAAGCCTTTTTAATGTCATTTCAATAATATGTTTTCAGATGTGTGTTTGTTCTGTTCATCCTGGTGTCTCTGTTTTAGGTCTTGATTCTAGTGTTTGCTCTGGGAAGAGCACAAGAACTCTGTATTCTGTTGGAAACATTTTGGTGAGCTTGTACAGTTGTTTGCTGGCCTAGGATTGATGCTTTTTTTTATCTTTTTGAATATGTTTAATATAGCAAATTCTGTTACAACCCTCATAAACTCTGTGTGGAACAGAATTGTGTGTAATTGCTGGCTGTTCATTTTACCAGGGAAAGAATGAATCTAAAAGCCCCCATTTACTTCTCCACCGGTCTGACTGAGAAAGCCAATCACTACTACAAGCTCTTCATCACCTGGACCAATCAGAAGATCCGCAAGACCTTCGTACAAAGAAACATGTTCGAGTTCAAGCACATCAAAGCCTTAGATCGCTCATATGCTGATAACCCTGGACCTATGGTAAGACGACTGCAAAGAAATGTATATAACTGATCATTTATATACTCTGCAAGCCCACAAAGAGATATCCATGCATTATTATTATTATTATGAAAAATATTATCTTTTTTATTTCTTGTTATTAAATGATACGTGTAGAAACATGCTAGAATATTAAGGAATATTCAAAAAATAATATTGATTGATTTCTTTAAATCTGATTTTCTACAGTTAATATTTATGAACATTTTAAATCTAATTCATATACTCTAATAATTGATACATTATTAATGGATGTTTATTGTAAAATTATTATTATTTTTATTATGATGATTAAATAACACATGTAGAAGCCTTTCAGAATATTAAACGTGACATTTGTTAAATTGTATTTCTTTAAATCCTGTTTTTCCTTATTTTGATAAAAATTTTAATATTATAATTTACTTTAAAATTTTAAAATTTGAATATTTAAAATGATTTTCCACTAATAGGATGTTTCATCTGTCACAGAATAAATCCGTGAAAAGTGCATATTTTTGGTCATCAGAATCAAAAGGTTTGAGATTTGGTTTGAATCTTGATTCCCAAGGCCTCAGAATCGGGACATTTTTATTTTTTTTTTACAGTCCTAGGTAGAGCTAGCTTTTTCTGCTGTTACAGAATTGTCAAAAGTAATTGATAGATTGTTGAAAAGTGGAACAAATGAGTTCACGATATTATGTAAAAACAGAGACATTGATAATTCTGTTCCATCAGGTTGTGTTTGCCACCCCTGGAATGTTGCATGCTGGCCAATCTTTACAGATATTCAAGAAATGGGCCGGCAATGAAAAGAACATGGTAAGACTCCTTATGAAACGGCAGATTATGTTAATGAGACTTACTTACCATTTCAA